TATTTCTGACTTTAGCATCTTGATAGCCGAGGTTTAAGTAAGCGCCACTAATTAACTTGAGCCAGCTTAAGTAGTCTACTGTGTGTACAATCTCAGACTATGTTAACTACAATTGAATTTATCTTCTGTTAATTTAAATACCCGTTAGTAGCGGCGGTACGTCTGTTGCACAAGCAGTGCTTCATGTTCATTTAAGAGTTAAATAAAAATGGTATTTTAACTTTCTTAAGTCATTCTTTCTTAGTCATTTGTTCCCGACTAAAGCGATTACTCGCTTCCAATCTAGTAGTCTGGTTTCCGCTAGATCGAGTGCTAGTCTAGTCTCCGCTAGGACATTAACACAAGCTTCTAGAGTAGAACCCTTCAAATACGTGATTAATTTTGTAGTTAATACATGATCCTTTCGTAAAGAATTCTTAGACATTTTATGGAAGTTGTGCCTTCCAAACGGACTTTAGAAATAATTTAAAATAAAATAAAATAAAAATATACGTTGCAGTCGCATCAAAAGTGTAAATACTGTAAAATGTTATAAATCTAAACTCTTAAATATAACTGAAAAGCCATTTCTGCATATATAACTCTTCTGCGGAGTATTTTAGGAATTTACGTTTATAGACGGATTGAAAGTAAATCAATGTCTAAACAGAGTTTGTAACAATAAAGTATATAACCTCTTCAGTTAAGGCAGATGACGCTCTAGTGCTTTGTCGTAATAAAGGAATAATCTAAATTAATTACTGATACATAATTCATTTCAGTTGATTTGCACAGAACCGTTGAAACGTCTTGATAATTTCTTTTCAATGATATGATTCTATCTCTAAAAACGATTCTAATTAGATTACTCCCTTTGCGCTCCACCATTTTATTTCGGCAAGCCATATCTCGGCCATGTGCAGCTGCAATACAATGGTTTTAATCTAGGTAATAGTTTAAAATTTGTCCGATCGTGTCATCTTATGTTTTCATCAACTTCCGGGAATCAAGCCCAGAAGACATCTGATATAACATTACAGCGACCTCAACACCTGGAAAAAATAATATTTTTATTTATATAATTATTACTGAATATTCTTCAGGCGTTGAAAATGACTATCTGCATCTATCTATATTTTGAATTTTTTCAACTTCTTATTTAGCGTACTTTGCTTGTTTTGTTTTAATTTAAAATAGTAAATAATTATATATATATATATAAATCTATATATATATATAAATCTAATATATATATATATATAATATTATTTTTCAATAGCCTTTTAACTTTAATTTGGATATTCCCCCTTTTGGATATTTCCCCTTTCTGTTTTAAAAATTTTCCCCTTTCTGTTTTTAATTTGGATATTTCCCCTTTCTGTTTTAAAAAATTTTCCCCTTTCTGTTTTTAATTTGAAAACAGAAGGGGAAATATCCAAATTAAAGTTAAAAGGCTATTGAAAAATAATATTATATATATATATATATATAATATTATTTTTCAATAATATTATATATATATATATATATAATATTATTTTTTTAAAAACAGTAAATGCTTATAATAAACCCCTGTCGTCTCTCTGCCTTCTTTCAAAATCAATAGCCACCATCATATGACTTTTGCTTAACACTAGTAACATAAACACTTTTGCGAAATAAAATTGAAACAGCCAATAATAGCTTTAGAGCATAATTAATTAGACACAGATCAAATGAAATCAAAATCGAAATTCACTATCTCTGAAGTGAGATTTCGTCTCGAACACAAAAGAATTCACTCCTACTTCTCCTGTTAAAAGACCTGCTATCACTTGATGCTTGCTTTCTTCAAAATTATATTTTTGAAGTGTAACTGCTCCAGTGTAATTCTCCAAAAGCAGACACTAAGGTTTCCGGTAATTTATGTTGGCTTATAGTAAAATTTCATAAACGTAAGTAAATAAGAGTATTATTAATTCGGCAGCATCTGCAACTTATTCATCGTACATCCATCTACAACGGATCAGTATGCTTCAACAGCTGCGTCATCAACGACATTTTCCAAACTATTATATATATGCATGATAAAGCAAAATTTATAAATTTTCAAATAAAAATTTAATACCTTCAATATTTATGAACAGTAGATTGCATTTAATGTGATCTGGAAATTAAGAAGGAATCCGTTTAGGGAAAATGGCTAATTAATAGACTTTCGATATATTTTAAGACTAACCGAAAGTGTCCTAGAATGAACACGAAAATACGTTTTTGATAGCTTCTTGTGCTTTTGAGGACTTTTAACATACCCTTATAGAACTGAGTGAGCAACAGATCTGCTCCATCTGTTATATTATCTAAAAATGAGGTGCAATCTCTGGAATTGTGCTTGCAAAATGTGGCGATTTTAATTTGAAATTTAATTCGAATTACTTTAAAGCATGATGTTACCTTCTCTGTCTGCATTTCTGTCAGCATAACGTAAAGATTAAAAGGAGAATTTTCTTTTAAGCAAGTTCCCTTATTAACTGGTAATTTATTTTTACATATTAACGCCAATTCAGTCAGAAAATACTTATGTATTAGATGAACAGAATGAAATATATTTTGACATAACAAGTTGGAACCAAGGCTTAAATTCAGCCGAAATATCCCAGTACAAGGCTCCAATACTCCTTAATCTTTGAGTAAAACCGAAATTCTAGCCGGGGCCCCAAATAAGACGAATGTTTGTATTTTAATATAGTATCTATTTGTCATTAAATTTTATTTTTAATTTTTTTATTTATTTCGTTACATTTTATTATTTTATGCATTTCATTTTGTTTAACATTGCTGACAGCCTCCTATGACACTTCTAATTTTGGAAATAAATCCTTGAGCTCATTAGATATGCCAAGGATTCTGTTGGCTTCTACCGTAAGAAAAACATAACATTTGTGTGAACTGAAAGATTCTATATAACTTCTAACACAGCGGGATCCACCGTTGAGTGAGTAAAACCACTTAACAACAGAAGTTCGATGCAGATTAAATGGATTTCTTTACTTGCTGCGTAAATAAAAATAATTATCATATATCATCATTATCTTGATATGTATCATGTATCAAGATAAAGATGAAAGTGTAAAAATGACATTGAGATGATATCCAGAAAGATTTCTTCAATTATACTTCTCTACCAGCAGTTTAAACTTATATACAATCAGCTGATCTTTCAGTCCAGTCATATAGTAACAGAAACTCAGCATGATGTAAACTTGGACAATACAGAAGCAAAAGTTAGAAGGAGATACTAACTCCTCGTACCTGAACTAAAGCACTATGGTGAAAATCATAAAGAATTTTTCGACGCGTGGGACATCATGCAAAAGCGGATCCATATTTTGCTACATTCTGTGGATATTTAGAGAAGTCCTTGTAATCCAGTATTCACGTAAATAATTTCTTTTTGACTGGCAGGGATAAGACGACAGTTAAAGGTTGCGACTATTATTATTACTTTTAAATTTATTTTCAATGATTTCGAGCTAGAATTACATGAAAAGACAAACGACACGGGTGTTCATTGTGTTCATTTGAATTTTGCCTCAGTGATAATTATATCATCACCAAGTGACAGTTTAGAAGCTATATGAATAATCGGGTTGATCCTTCTTCTGTTTAAAGTCCCACAACTCACGAGCGTGAAGTCATTGTTTATTGTGCCATAAGCATCACCTTCTATTCATATTTTAGTCATTATTAGATTTCACGGAACAGGAGATAGGAAAAATCAGCTGTACCCTCATCGAAATTTTAACCACGGATTTTTCAGTTTGATGACTTTTTAAGCACTTACACCTAGACAGCACTCACGAGAGAATGTGATAATTCATATATATATCGGATGAAGTGATGTTACGCTGATATGTTCATGAGGTGTTGTAACCCGTTGCGTTACTATATGTACTGTACATACCATATGTTAGTTTTCATCAAAATAAGAAACGACGACACGCCGTTAACATCAACAAACATTCTTTATAAAGTCTCGAAGTGTTTCCTAACCAAGCACGGTTCCCACATTTCTTGTTAGTCTAGAATCCGTAGAACAAGATTAGTCCTTGTGTGAAGGCTCCTCGACACTCTTGAGATGAGGATTAACTAGCACCTTTAGTCAATATTCAGTTGTCTAAAGATAAGTGATATGCAGTGGTGCTCAAATCACATCTAGGACGTAATTCAAGCACTAACTAAATCTATGTCTTGCCTCCTTAATGACTGTGTATTGTTAATAAAATGGTGGCCATACTTCTTACAATTACACTGTAAATACGCATCTTAAGCACCTGTAGTGTTTTTAAATTAATTTTTCAAGACTCATTTTTCCATTTGTGAGTCAAGTTTTGTTTCATTTGAAATATCTTCCCTTGGTGTTGTAATTTTTTCTGCTGTGAAGTGTCCAGTGCATATGGGAAATGTTCGAAAGATCCGAAATAAATTGCATTACAAATTTTTCATTAAGTTTTATTCACGTAATATAAATCCAGTTGAATACCTAGATTTTTGTTGAATTCTAGGTCATTAAATAAACCTGAAAAGCAACATTAAGTTACACGTTGAACAAAAATTAAAGGTCCAGCTTAGTTTTAAATTTTATATGCAAAGCATAATCATAAAGGAAAATCTTAGAATAGAGCAAAAGTATGACTTGCTAGCAAGTGAAATTTAAACTAAAAAAAAAAATGAAAAGATTATGAATTCTGTTAGTTATCGCATACTCCAGAAAATACCAAACGAACGGTCGATTAACAACCTTCATTGTAGTAGTAAAATTCATTAAAGATCAATCGAAAAACTAGTGCATTTTTTTAAATAGACATACCTATTTTTCGATAATTCATAATAGATAACCTAATCATTTCATCTGTACTGTATTATTTCATAAAAGAGAACATAATTTCTCACTCATTTACGTTATGTTATTTGATGCTATATAATATTTAATATTGATTTCCTCTTAATGTTGCAAATTTGAAATTGTTGCTTATTTTCAGCTTCCTCATCTCTCATTCCTTATATGACAATCCACATGAAAGAATTAGGAATTACTGTAGAGGAAACAGCAATAATTTATACCTTCCTACCAGTTACTCAGTTAGTATGTACTCCTCTTGCTGGTATGATAGCAGACAAGCTTGGACGTTATAAAGATGTTCTTATGTTATCGGTATTATCATCAGTGGCGTTTGCAACAGCTATACTATTTGTTCCTCCAGCTCCTGATCCAAGAGTAGAACATCCAGACATTGATCTCCATTGTGGACCTGTTATTTTACCTCATGTTGTGGTAGAGAAATGTTGGGGAGGGCCATGTGATGTTTTTCATACAAATCAAACGAATCCTATGCAACTGTTGGGCTGTAGTGTATATTGTCCTGGAATTATCAATTCAGAATATATGCAAGTGGATACCTTATGTAATAACAAGACTCAAGGCTATTGTTTTATGGCTAATGACTTAAAATATCCTCTACGTGAGAGCAATTATACATTAAGAATGAAATTTCGCCAACCCTATCCTGAGAGATCAACTTGTTTATATCCTGTGTCTGGAGTGACACCAATACATCCAGATGATATGTTCTCGGAACAAAATATTATTCGTAGTGCGTGTCCTGTGGTTGTGAATAAAGCCGCGGGAAATTGTACTATAAAATGTTCTTTCAAGCAACTGCCTGATGATGATAATGGAACTTTTCCACATATTAATCGCTGTGTAAGAACTATAGGAAATAGAGTACTGACGTTTTGGTTATACTTCTTCCTCCGCATTTTATTTAATATATTCGCCTCCATATGCCTAACTTTGCTAGATGCTACTGCTTTAGCCATGATTGGAGCCCATGGAGGACAATATGGTAGACAAAGATTTTGGGCTATTCTTGCTCAAGCAGTGTTCTCACCAGTTACTGGATTTCTCGTCGATTTATTAAGTGAGCACCGAGGATACATGGACTATTCTCCAGCATTTCATTTTTATAATGTTCTTGCCGTATGTACTGCTATTGCAGTCTGGATGATGAGCGTTGATGTACCACCACCAGCAGAAAATGTGTTAAAAAATTTTAGAAAGCTTTTAAAAGTGCCACCAGTAATTGCCCTCATGATTGTAGTTTTTTGGCTTGGAGGTATGTGGGGATTCGTAGAATCATTTTTATTCTGGTACCTTATGGATCTAGGAAGTCCGAATTTTCTACTTGGATTGACTTTAACGACAGGTGCCATTGTAGGATTACCATTTTTGTACGAATCCGACTGGTTCGTTAGAAAGGCTGGACAGGTTAATCTGCTTCTTTTAGCTTTATTCTTCTACTTCGTTCGTTTCTTTGGCTATTCCTATATTCATAACCCTTGGTGGTGCATTCCTTTTGAGGCAATGGAAGCTTTTACTTACCATCTGATGTGGGTTGCCGCTGCTACATATGGTGCAGAACTTGCTCCTCAAGGTCTTCTAGCTACTATTCAAGGCTGTGTTGGAGGATTTCATTATGGTGTTGGTAAGTGAAGAGTAACATCATTTTTATTTATTTATTTGCCTAAATGCGAACATGAAAGAAATGTAATTGTTCAGAATGTTCATTATTTTTCTCCTACGAAATTTCCAGCACAAAAATATTTTAAGAAGTTAAGTATGCAGTTTTTTATACAACCAGTATTTTAAATAAACTGTTGTTATACTGTAGCAATTTTCTCATTTATTGATCTTGTGCTCATTTACAAAATTTTTAATACTGAACTAACTTATCATTTTAGAACACAAAGTACATAGTTAAACAGACTAAGAAATTTCATTGAAATAATTAGAATGCTATATTATGACTGAAATTGAACTAGAAAACTAAAATTTATTAGTTTTCTGTTTAGTTTCCCATTATTACTATTTCTTAATGTTTTTCTCTGCTTAAAACCGTTCAATGAATTTTATATAATAAATTGTAATTTTGGAAATACTCCATATCAGATAAAAGTAATAAATATTTATCTGTCTTGAGAATGTTATTAAGATAAATTCTAGAATCAGCGATCTTGTTACTACTTTTCGTTTCAGTAAAGTACTTACATACCTCCTGTTTAATTTAGAAGATACTAGTTTAAATAATCATTATTACAGTCTTCACGTACGTTATAAATTAAATTTTGAGTTAGTACTGTAGCTACTTCTAACTGAATCTTAGCAAATAGAATCATAACGAGTAACGGGAGCTTTGAAATATGACTTTTTGTATTATATATTAAAACCTTAACTTTCTGTTCAAGCTTAGGTAAAAAAGTAAATCTGTCGCACATCTTTCGGGAAACAAGTGACTAATGTGTACATCAGTGGTTCTTAACCGAGGGGGACGCGGTCAGCCTTTTATTTACATGTTAAGTATTTAATTTAGTTTATGAATATAAAAACTTCTTTTATTCAAATTTGGGTGTTTGTTAACATGTTTTACTCTTTTACCTTGTTTGGTTTGTAAACACATTTAAAATAATCTGAATTTAAATAAATTTATATGTATTTTTTGGGTTTTTGGAAAGGTGGGAGGAATTATCGTCTAGCAATAGTGAAAGTGTGCATGGGGGGAGGGGAGATTGAGAACCACTGCTATACATTTTCTTAAAAGTCTCGGTTTTTACCATACATAAAGCTTAACTCTAGGCTCGGTGGCTCAGTGGCTAGCGCATCGTGCAGTAGCACCACAGGTTCGATCCCCAGGCTGGTCGACTCAGCCTTTCATCTCTCGATATCGAGGGATGAAAGTGGTCAGCTTTTCCCGCGAAAAGCTGATCACTTGTTCAGGACATATGCTTTCGCACCACGGGGCCCACGGTCAAGAAAGCAGATTTCGGAGCACTGCAGGCATTGGCCCGTTAGGAGTGTTACGCCACTAAGTTTAGTTTAAAGCTTAACTTTATCCTGTTAAAAATGTTGAATCTAATAATGTACTGTTTAAGTCATTATTTAATTCTAATTTCTTTCTCTACTGTTATTTCAACTACATTTTTGATTCATAGAAATGTATCCAGACTTAATTACAAGAACTAATCATAAGCTAAGAATAATTCATTCATATCGGGGAAGCGTAAGAAAAACTTTATTATCAAATCTCGGTTATTTTGAAAATAACATAATTTAAAACTTTTGATTTTCGAACAAACTTTTGCTAGAATTTTCGAGAAAAGCTTTTTATCATATTGTAAAGTTTAATTTCCATCTTTTTATTTTATCATCATAGGTCGAGGATCGGGAAGTTTTGCTGGAGGTACGATGATGAGTCAGTTCGGAGCCCGTTTAGCATTCAGGGTGATGGGAATATCGGCTGGTGCTATGCTAATAGTTTATGCAGTTGTGTACTACGGATACCTACGCAAGCGAGAGATTAGACTGAGAAAAAAAGCAGCTGTAGTTCCTGAAGTTGAACTGAATAGTAGCAATATTGTTACAAATAATATAACTGATGGTAAATTTTATTTGTGTAACTCTTACTGGATTATTTTCACATTCATACAAGTAAATTTCGATCGCATTTCATTAAAACAGAAGTTTTGTTTAAAAAGAAAAGAAACCGTGTACTGGATATCGTATTGTATCATTCAAGCAAATGATGAACGTCATCACGACATTACATTCATCACAACTTCTGACAATGCCTTAAAAACATATTTGTAGAAAAAATTCTTTTCTAAGATCCCGCTTATTCATGTGATTAAGTCAAAATGAATTAATCTACTCAATCTGATCTACTATCTGATTTTCTGACCCGTCCAAAAGTTTCATAATTTTATTTTGTGCACAAATTTTCAAATTTAAAGGATAATTGTAAAAGTCATGGTAACTGTACAAAGACTGATTAAAATTCCATTGAATGTAATTATTTGCCATAATCATATGCTACCGAGTAGGCACATGGTGAAGCAAGGCCTGAATTTGTGCATTCCCGAAGGTACGTTAAGGGTTATTCACACTGGGGTTTATCTGTGCTAACGGAATCAGTTCCATGTGTACATTAGCTCCGCTATATGTGAACATTTTTCAGCTCGCTCCGCTATGAACTGGTTTTGAACTGGCTATGAACTGGTTTTGAAGGAAAAACTGGTTTTGGAGCTGCGTTTGCTATGCCAAAAGTATCTGTTAACTCAGATATGCCTTGCTAACTCGTCGTCAGGTCTTGCTAACTGTTAAACTTTCGCCCCAGTTTTGAAAGAAAATATGCCGAGGGGCAGGCCGAGGGTCTCTTGTCCTCTTCTCCTGTCACCACCTTTCGAGAGGATTTTCGGTTCGCCATATCTTTTGCGTGATTCTTACCGCACAGACACTATATGCATATAAACATCCATGCATTCTTCGAGATTTGAATTCAACGGACCCATTACAGCAGTCCGCATCACTAACCACTATACCAGTTTTGACAGATAGTGCGATTTTTTTTAATTTTCTCTTTTCCATGTTAGTAATTGCAACTTACATGGCCCGAACAACTTAAAAAAGTGTAATACATATCTCAAAAACAGTGATATGTATAATATCAAAAATGAATACCAAGATGGTTGTAAAATTTGTATTCGAGCTGCTTCCCTTTTCTGTAAAAGGCGATTTAAAAATTTTTCTTTGAACTAATGGATCACAGATAATATTGCATGATTGATAGATGGAACAACCCTCTGAAAATAATAGTAAAAAAGGAAAATTATCGTAAAAGAGTGTAAAAGTATTTATGAAATAAAAGTTATGCACTTTTATTACATAAATATTGGCAATTTTATTGCTCTGTAATTTTTGTTTCTAAATCAGGAGAATGATTTTCAAAGATATGGCCTGCGGGTTATAAACCGACACGGGATCGCTTTAGAAAGTGTAAATATGTTCCAAAGCAATCACATGTCGGTTTGTGGCACTCGCGCGAGGTATCTGAACATCATTCTCCTGATTACATTATTGCTACGAATTAAACAAATGACTTAAAAATCAATGCAACACCGGATTTCTAAATAATAACATTTAAGGTAACAAATTTAACAGTTAATGTAGGTAGTTTTTCATTAGCAATCACAGTCTGATGAAATGAAATAAGTTCAACTATCAAAACTGAATATTAACTGAAAAATATAAAAAAAATTATAGTAAGACAAGAAACAATGCGTAAAAAGATAAACAGCTAACTCAAAAGAATTAGCATAACAGTGATAACTATCCAAAATGAGAAAGCACTTAACAACGAAGAAGAATAAATTAACCGAAAAACGACAATCTAAATTAGAATTAGTTAAAAAAATTGAAAATTGAAACAATGGAGGATTAGCAATCTGGCTTTAAGATTTCCGTCAAAACTGATACGCGCAATATAACGACCAAAATTTTAATTTCTTGTCGCTAACCTACGGAACCCTCGGAGATCGGCTGTCTGATGACGCCAAAGAACATGTGAGCTTACGAACCTATGACGTCACTAAATCACATGATCTATGACGTCACGTGCTACTTTTTCATTCTATTCAACGGCTCAAAAATGATTAATCGAATTTAGCTAAAACATTTCTGACTATAGCGTTTCGGCGGCCTATGCTGTTGAACCCAATTACAGGTAGAATTGGACCAAAAACCAGAATTTCCTTATGACACCATGGAAACAAGATGTCTGCCTCCCGAGTACTAGTCATTCAGGATTAACCCATGTTCAGCTTGAATAATGATTTCTGAAGCACTTTCCACCGCATATCCATAGAAGACACTGTTTTTATGATTGCGGATTACGCGTTTGGGGAGATGTCATAAGAAATGGATGCACTAACTCCATGTCTAGTACAGAGTTTCGGCAATCACACAGAAATCCGAAGATGAGATTCTACCACAAGGCTATTTAGCTGTGGTTCGAATCCAGTCACCGCTGAGAAGTCCCAAGGCAGCAGTTCCTTACTGCTTTCTTTATACAAGTAAGAAAAATATTGTTGTTCAGATGCTTCAATTACCTTCGGATGACTTTGACGAACAAGATTATCCTGCTTTACAAGCGGTTTTGGATTCTTGAGATCGCATAGTTACCTTCGGAATAATCAGCTCTTTAGAGGTGTGCACCTACGCATTATTTGCCTCGAGTCTTTAGACCCCTCGCTACAACTGTCCTCATCTAAATGTCTTTTAGAGATGATTAATAGCATATAACTACCTTCATGCTTATAATTTTGTGTTTAACCAAGATATTTGCGTACAGTCGGACAAGTCTCCCCTTAAGATTTGCTCACGTTCCCTTATTTGCATATTCTGTGCGTAGATAGCGGTGGAGCAACAGTTTTTTTCTTTCAGAAGTGCATGATAACCATAAAAAATTACATAAAGAAAATGGTGGAATTCATCACTCTTTGCAATGTTAGGATTACTTTTGCATTATTCTTTAATTCTGAACATCATTGTATATGTTATTTGTTAAGTACGCAGTATTATCATGCATTAAATGGAGATCCTGTGAATTTTATGTTCCTAAATAAGGTATGAGAAAATAATTCCACTTATAGCATTAGTCATCTTACGGTACAGTCTCCATATACTATCCTTCTAGAACACGTATGTGCTGATAGGAAATCTCCCATTGCTAGCACATGAAAATCTTTTTTAAAGAATTTTGCAAAAGGTCAAAAATCGGCTGGTGTAAAGGAAACTTCTCTTAAATGGCCTGCCTATAAGAATGATGCTTAGCATACAGATGATTTTAGATTTTAGTGGTGGAAATCAGTTGCAGCCATCCATACTAATAATTGTTACAAGTACGATTTTCTATCCTGAACTTTCATGGAAATTCGCACTTTGAAATTTCTTTCTGAGATACACTCGTGCAAGTAAAGTTACAAAGATAAGAAAAATAATAAATGGGCCTATATCATATAAAAATGACTCACAGTCACGAAATTTGCATCACGTGTTATGCTAGAGAGCACGCGAATTACAGCGCGCAGAGAAAGTTTGCATGTAAAATTGTTTCCGGTAAAAAAATTTTTAAGGTCTGAAAACGGGTTCATTTCTCTAAGTCCTTTGCATTATGAGGAAAGCATCTCGATTTACTCGAATCACAGAAAATGAGAATGTAATATTATTTGCGCAAACTGCTATGTAAATGGCAAGAAGTATTAAGGGGTACAACTACAGATGGAAAACCTTGGATCCTATATGTCAACAGTTTCATCACAAGGACCCTGTGGAATCACTATGAGAGTGAACGTTCAATGCCTCTAAAATGGAATGTTATCACTCTCTGAATGACTAGCGCGATCAACCTGCTGAAAACCTTGTATGCCTACAGTGAGAGAAAAAAAGATGAGTGCTTTTTTCTTATCTCATTTTCAGTCTCCAAGAAAAAAATGTTGTATGTCCACAACTGGCTGAGAATCTTATATTATGTGGAAAATTGTTTCCAGAACGCTTCATGAAAGTCAGTTTTGTGCAAGTCGTCCACTTATCGTCATACCGTTAACACATTCACGCAGAAGGGCTTAGTTACACTGGGCTTGTGATCATCTTAGTTGAAACCTATGACAATAAAAAAGGAACTTTTTACAGATAAGTCACAATTTGATCCGGTCCTGACTTCCGAAGAATGCTGATTTTATGAAGGCTTGGTACTTGATATCAGCTCATTAGCACGCACGAAACGCGAATATATAATGGCTAACATCTGATTGTTTGAGGCTAGTATTTCTCTCTGATGTCGCATTGTCCTCCACATGTCCTCCTTACGTTATAGTGACAGCAGTATGCTATCGAGATGACGTCTCTGACTAACGCATTCGCCCATTTCTTGATTTCATCTATCTTAATGCTATTTTTTTTGGCTGATAATACAAGGTCTCATGACTCTCTCGGTTATCTAGCCTTACTTACTTTCTGAAACACTTCTTCACATGGAATGGCGCAACGAGGTTGTTCATTTGAAGAATCATGTTTTGAATACTGCTTAAGGAACTCTTTCTAAGGATTTCGATTAATTGCCAGTCTTTATGCTGCCCGAGTACCTTCAGTCCCGCATACATTCATTATGAGCTCGAATCACTGCTTTCGTGATTCGAGGTCATAATTGATGTGTTTCGGGCTTGTGTTGAGCGTGAATTAATGATTTCTGGCCTGTGTTGCCACGCAGCTTATTTTTGTCTTTGATCTTGCATTCCAGCATTTGCCTATTATATAATATGCATTATTTAATTATTTATGAATCTTTTTTTTCTAACTACACGCTAGTACGTATTATTATATCTAACGTCCTGTGTGATATTTATTCAGCTTAAATAAGCCTTTACACTTTTATTGTCATTTTAATTATTGGTACTTAACTTTGAAAGCATGATTTTCTACGTTTTTTGCTTAAGTGATCAGTATGAACAGTACATAGAGACATGATGTTTGAGATTATCCATCTGATTTTCTCTACAAGATTCAGCCAATAGAAAAGTGCAGCCGTTCTCAGTTTCAAAAATAAATAAAATCATTTGATTTCAAACATCATAATTCCCTATTATATTAACTGTAGTTCGATATTGCTGCGAATTCTGCATTAATGCGTCAACGCTCAAAGAATTCTTTATTGATAGCTTAAATTTAATTAATGAAATTGTTTCTAGTTTGCAATTTCATTTAAGTGTTCTCCTGTAATTAAAGTGTTCTCACACGTGCTTCTAATTTCAGCTTCATATCATCGGCGCTTGACTTGTAAGCTGCAAATTAACTACATTGTAACTCTCTGTCTGTATTCAAAAATGAAATTATCAGCCAAAATCCGCATTTAATTTTTTGAATCCCGAGCCATATACTTCTGATGCTCTCTCCATAATAATATAATAAGTATATGTTAATAAGTATATCCATAATAAGTATATGTTTATCCTGTTCAAAATTATGTTTATTTGAAAACTTTTATGAGATATTTGCGCACATGTGTACTTCTTAGGAAAGTTAGTCACCACTTTTTTTCGGTATAGTCAAGAAAGTATACAGTTTTATTATACTTACTTACGTCATTGTAATATCTCTTCAATCATCTTTCTTTCTTTGGAAAGGCTCTTTATATGTCATATATGGTCATTTAATGGTATTTACTAAAATAAATAAAGGGAAGGTCTCCGTTTACTGAAAATCATTGTGCTTTCGATGAGGAACATTGTACCGTGTTTCCTTTCATTATATCTTTATTTTAGTATTAAATATATTTTACAGCAAGCAGTATATATTGCATTATGAAACGACCACGCACCTACACGTAATTAAAGTTTAGTTTAAGATTTCTAAAAACGAAATAATTTATCGAAATATTGCAAAATTTGGAATGACTGCTTCTAAACCAGGAGGATTTAGCTCGGGATAACACATATTTCCAAATTTTGTTGTCAGGAATAACAGTAATATTTTACTGCAGCAAAAACTACGTAATTTCAGAAATTATGCTAACATGTCTTTATTTCATGAAAGTTTTTTCATATATTCGTCGCATCGACTTCCGCAAAAATTTTTACATTTTCTTCAGTACATCTTCCAATATTCAAATTTCAAAATTTTAAATGATGCCTGCTTGTGTATTATCTTATCTCTAGAATAGGGCTTGTCACCGCTAATGAAATAAAACTTCATTATTGGCGAATGATACTAACATTAAAAATCGGGTCCTTCTTAGGAAAGTTAATTGTTTTACCGAAGCAGCAGTAATGCATTAAAAGCATTCAGTGCATTAAGTATTTATAATAAAGTTATCCTTTAACAGAAAATGCGTTATTGAAAATAGTTCTTAATATTTTAATGACAGAACATGTCTACTAATGTCCTAACTACAATTGTTGCTAACAACAGGGAACGGCAGCATCTTATATTAAATGCTCCCTATGATATATAACATTTATGAGCGTTTACTCTCCAAATAATTTCACAGGAGAAATATTATAGAAAGTACGTGGCATTATACTTAACATCTGTTATCTTTGCGCCACAGCTATGTGTAAATATGGAACGTTACCTATAAATATATATTTACTGTGAAAGCATTGGGACATAAAAATAAACACAAATAAGAAGCCGATTGACGACTAGGACGAAAAGCAAAGGATTAACGCTGGGAAATGATATGATGGCCAATGAAACAGTAACCGCACTGCCCTGTGCATAGTTAAGTCATTCGAAAAATTACAAGCACTATTCATGAGGTTCTTAAGTGAATTTTCCTCTGCTATCCATAAAACACATGACCAAAAATTGGCTCTTCTTAGCGCAGATGCAAGGAAAGCATTTGCTCTGTAGTTTTTTCTTAGAGTTGAAACGGACAATAAACAGCTTTGCGAACCAACGATGCCGATTTTCACTTCCATAGGGACATTAATACAATCATACTGCTCTTTAGGAACTTCTTCTCTACATAACTTCAAAATTACGAATTCTTCTTGTACAAATAACGTCGAATTAATTTTTCAAAAATTCTGAAAACTTTACAAAATTTTCCACGTAACGCAATAAACTGATCATTAAATTGCATGATCAGTAAATCATTACCATCATGTATGCCATCTTGGAGATAAATTTGAAACTAACAATTGTACCTTACTTTATGAATTTATTACACCTTAATTATATCTCATTTATGAATAATTACGAATCGGTTCAGAAAGACGTTGTATTCTAGTATGCATATTGTGAAGGAAGGTAGTACGTGTCGTAAGAATCCGCATAAGATACAAGCTTTTCCTCGAAACTCACTATTTAGTATGATTTAGCTTCATGAACAGGCCCTGCATTTTGCAGAGGCCTGAACGTTCCAGTCTTGTTATTTTAGAAATCAGAGGCGTGCTGCACTTTTGGTTAAAAGTTTATAATTCTAAAACCGCAACATCTTGAATACTCTTTAGCTTGAGTGCTTCTTTGAGTGCGCATCAGCTCAGAGGATTTAAGTGCGATGGCGCCCTTCTACGCATAACACTCTCGGTAAGACAGTTTGAGACACATTTTATAAATAAAAAGGCAATCAGTTGCTATCTTTCAACAACATGACTAGGTTAAAAGATCTCAATTCATTTTACTTTTAGATTTGGGGCATATAAAAAGAGTTTTTTGCTCAAAAGTATTAGTAATCTAGTGGTCATGAAGTCACATATTACTTGCCGTGCTTTTGATATTTCAACAGATATATTAAGCTTTTAGGTAAAACATATTATTTTACCACTGCAGTATGTAGCTATCAATGATAAACATTGTTTTAACGAATGCAGTATGCAGCTGTAAATGATGGACAATGGCTGCAAATGTTCCGTGCAAATACCAAAATATAAATTTCATTTCAATTGAAAATTTAAATTTAAATTAATTTTTTATTTACTGAAATTCTTGAGTTCCATTATTCGAAATTTCTCTTTATTTCCTCTACTGAAGTAAAGTGTCACTTTTATTTCTTGCTGTAAAACTCGTAACTTCATGGATTTTCAAGCAGAACAATATAATCCCTTCTTGAAATGTTATCTCATTTTGAAAAATAAAGCAATTTAAAATATGATCATTGGTTACGGATATCTGGTACATCAAACATCGCACTTCAAAATGTCAAATTTTACAGATGTAAAGGTATTGATTTCTTTGTTAACTCAAGTCTTATATAAACAGATATCACATCCTACCAGTATTATTCAGCGAGCGTCAGCTTGTACTCATCATCTTTTGCCAAACAGATATTTTCAAAATAAATTTTAAAAACTTATTAGCCTTATTAGTTTTGCTTCAGATTCCCTAAGGCCTTGATTCTAAATAATGCATTACCATGTTAATTTTTCGAAAGAATCTGGATGATATTTTTAGGACAAAAGTCTTCTGACTGCGAATTTAACTAGATCAGTGTTTAATAGCAAAGTCATAACTGCACCTGTATATTTTGTAATGCATAATGCAAATTTCGAAAACATTTGTGTAGAGTAAGGTACATTTGAAAGCCTGATATTTTGCATTAGGTTTTCTGATTATGCACCTAATCATAAAACACAGAAACATGTGAAGAACTAGAATTTCGATCACATGGAATAAATAAATTTTATTTCTAATTAAGTAACAATTATTAATTATTAATTATTATTATTTATTAATTATTTTATTAAAGGAACTTTTTTAATATTGTAAATATCAGTATTTTATAACGTAATAAAATCCAATGTCAGTTTCAGTTACATGTTTTATAATTATGCGCATGATTTGATTTGGTAAAATAGTAGATTAGATAACTAAGAAAATATAAAAGGAATGTATTGAAAGAGCAATATAAATTTAAATAAAGTTTTAAGTAATAAATAAAGAAGTGAAATACTTTTTTAAATTTTTTTTCTTACATTTATAAGATTAAGTTTGCATTTATGATATTTATTTTAATTTTAATTTATTCTTTCTATCTAACAGTTAATTGTGTAAATGCTGTGACTTCAAATGCTGTAACTTCAAATCAAGATATGAGTAATCAAGGCACAGCGACAGTGGGAAATCATTTCAAGCATGAAGAAGATACGGTGAATGAGGAGAGTAATGAAGAAAGAATTCCTGCCGAAGCTTCAAGATAGCTCTTCTTGATAAGAAGAATTGGGTTCTTATTTTTATAACTGGAGAAAAAATTCAAAGAAGTTGCAAAAATATTTTATGAAAGAGGAATTCTGATACACTTTTCTTTAAATAATTTTAATGGTCTTTTGAGGATATTTCATATTATAGCTGAATACCAAATTGCAACATGCTTTGAAAAAGAAACAAAAGGTTAATGCAACGAACGTTTTTACTGGTAAACCTGGTAACGAAAGGCTGAAGACTGCATTAGACTCTTATACGACTAGTTGCAACTTGCTCGATTCATAGCTTTTCAAATACTCTGAGATTGTCTGTTGCTCACTAAAGATTGTAACAAGCATATTTTTACATCTGCATGAAAGAATATTACAGCAACAGCATACCCAAGGGGCAAATTACGTAAGCTATGGTATTTTTAATCTATAATTTTATGAATGTCCTGCTGTAATGCTATAATATTTCATTTCATGCAATCTCGATAAGTTAAGAAGCATTTCAAGATACATTAAAAAGTGTTCTGTATTATCAATGGAACTGTTAATGACCAGGAAATGCATGTGCTAGCATGAAAATAACACATACAAAAATACTTGAGTTTTAACAATTTAAATACTTCTGAAACATCCGTGACCTTTATCTGTTTACAGTTTTAGCTATTGACTGAAATTGTTCTCCATGAGTTTAAAGATACTCATCACTCAAATGGATACATTATGTGCACTGTATATAATAGTTTTATTTTATAAATATATTAACATATTAATTCAGAAGTCAAACAACAAAAATCAGCGTTATTTACAAAGTTTTCACAGCGATTATTAAAAATCGCTGTGATTATTACAAATCGCTGTGATTATCACAGCGATTATTACAAATCAGCGTTATTACAAAGTTTTTCAAAAATCAGCGTTACTGTGAAAACTTTGTAAATAACGCTGATTTTTGTTGTTTGACTTCTGAATTAATATTTATTCGGCGTGCTATTGTGTCTTAATATTAACATATATTTTTTCTGTCAAAAATAACAACTTCTACCATATTTTTCAATAAACCATGAGCACCTTGGCAATTTTCATCCGGCTGTCAGATCGATATCATGTTCATTACTTGCAGCTATTTGAATGAGAACGTATGCATCAAATGACTGTATCCTCTGGCTCTATTCCTGAACTTGGAATATTAGGCAGATGATTATGGTTTATTTATTATACTCGAAAACTTAAAATGACTGATAATTGTCTATTGAGACTCTGATTTAAAACTAATAAAATTTAATCTAATATAAGTAAAGTATATAAGAATATAAACTTTGTTTTAGAATTAAATGCTATGTATGAAAGGTAAACTTTTAATAAAAGGAATCGTTATACATTCTGAACGTAGTTTTATAATATCTATATTCTTCATGTCTCCTCAGAAGGTTTCCTGATGTATCTAATACACTTCAAGATAGGCTGCACTAGTTATACCGCAAATGTCCAGCTGGTATTTCATTTCAATCCATGAGTTTCAAAGTGTTTGTTGTCTAACTTTTGATAGCAACATAATTCTGTCTCGCAGTTTCTCAGGTTTACTCGCCTTATATTGCATGTACCTGGTATAACAAATTACTTTTGGAAAACTTCAGTTGCAGTTATATCTGGTGATCTCGGCCGCTGTACAGTAAACTGCTGAATCCTCTTTCAGTCTCCTCCAGTGCAGTAATCTCATCTCTTGTAATGAAGCTATTGTGCAGAATATCGTTACAAAACACGAATAATGAACACAGCAGTCCATATGCGCTAAATTTATAAATTTCCCAATTGCTTTTTAAGCTGGGGTGTACCTTTTATTATTAAATATAATACTTTCTTCATTGCAATTTTTTTATTATGTGTCTAAATGGAGTATCCTATGTACATAAGCGTGTATATTCATACCAAACTGAATTATACATCTGCAGTAATTTTTAACCCGCATATATATATATATATATTTCGTGTCTCTTGCTTCAAAATAACCTAATGACGCTACAACTTATGCTTTTTTTTTTTTTTTTTTTTTTTTTTTTTTTTTTTTTAGTATGCAAATTCAGTTACTCACATTTTTACATCTAAGAAGTCTAATCCCATGACAGCAAAAATACGTATATTTCTGAAATTTTACTAATTTATTAAGTTTTTAAAGATATGTATACACAAGTTGCATTTTCAAAATTTTAGTTCCTTCGAAAATGGAAACACTTTTAAGTGTTAAGCGAGTTATCGATATAAGTCTTGATGTGATTCTGTTCTATTGTCCGAAAGAAGAAAGATTTTGAAGTTATATATATATATATATGCGTGTTTGTAAACAAATATACATAATTTCAACTATAAGCCTTAACGTCTTCAAATAAAAATAAAAATAAAAGTCCCAAAATTTGAAATTCGTGCATGCGCCTTTTAAATTAAATTGCAGATGCATTTTATTAAATGCAAGCAAATACTTGCATTAATTCATACCGCACTGAATTCAAATTCTAAAAAAAAGTGAAACTCATCAATGATTTTAATAAAAGTAATGTTTTTGCGGGCTATATTAACTTATGTACTTTATGGCATTTTAGTACATGTTTGATCGAAATAGTTAGCTAACTAGTGCCTGAAATTATTTACTGACAGCTTCTCTAAACGTTCACTTCAGTAAATTAGATTAAAATTTCCTGATTTGTTATTAATATAAGTCACTTAAAAATTGCTTGAGAATTCACTATGATTTTTTATATTTTAGAATGTTTGTGAGGTTATCTAATTTCGATAAACGAAAAGGAAAATGTAGAAATTAAAATATCTTTTTTATTTTTTGGCCCGAAACGTTTCCCGTTTAAAATTTCAAAATATTTTAGTGTTTGCAATGCATATGAAAATTATTCCTAACTAAAACTTTGGATATATAAATGTTCATCGAAACCTTTTAACAAAACTACTTCTATTACGGGGAAATATACATACATGTTCAAGTTAGATAGCTAATTGTAACGCTAAGATTAACAAAAATTGCTCATCTTTAATATATTTTACAAACTTTATTTGAATAATTTAAAAGTTATTCAAGTATAATTTTTGTTTAAACGCGATACTAATAATGTCTTTTAATAAATTTATATTTATTAGAATTGGGTTATTTCATTTCAGCAAAGTACACCACGATTATATCCCTGAACACCAGCACAGTTTTGATCGAGAGCACCGCAGGGTGTGGAATCTGAAAATCTCTAACTCCATTCCATCCACCTCTAGTTTCGCATCAAAAGATTATTAAGTACTACTTACATTCTGCTAAGATACTTCAGTCACAGACTACACGTCCATGATTCAAATAAAAGACTTTTGCGTTACCGAAGGGCCCGGATTCGAATATCGGAGAAGACATGGTTGTAACTGTCCGTCCCTTCATACCATGTAATGATGGACGCCTTTTGTGTGCTTCCACAATAAAATGGCCACCAGTTCTGGCCTTAGGAGTGAGCAATGCTGCCCGCCAGTGGATAAATAAAATTCAAGTAAAGGCCTAACAACGTATGATATCACGAACAGATATTTATCATTGATTGCAAGATTGTATCTGAATTAAATAAGAGTATAGTGCTACCTAAATTATTTATTACAGTTAAGAAGATTAAATTTATGACTGAAACTGCGAAAAAAGAAATGATATTGCAGATTTAAATGGGAAATAAATAAGTAGAAATAATCGCTTTGTTAAGTTAGGAACAATTATATCCTCTATCGCATCACAGAAAATATTGAGATATAAGGAAATAAGATCTTTCGTAAGATTAATCGTTCATTTATAATCAAATTTTGTGTTTCAAAAAATATTTTAAATGCGATTTTTGATTTCATTCAACAGCAGTCCGGGGCAAGTACAATAAACAATACTTAGATATGAACCGTAGTGCATGTGAAAGTGAAATCCAAAATTGAAAACTTCCATGGAAAGAAACTCATTTTTAGTTCAAATTAAAGGATTTTTCTACAAGTAATAAATTAAAGCAGAGAAATGGAAGTCAAAATGATGTTAAAACACAAAAATGGTAAAATGAAAAAGTAATTTAGAATACCAACTTTGAAGAAGGATTAGAATAAATTAGGTATAAAGAAGGATTAGGATCTTATGACTAAGAAATCAAGTGCTGTCCACCTAAGTTGGAGGGATGCCTTCCCAGAGGCATCCCTCCAAATGAGCATACCTGTCCGGAGGACTTTTAGGGAAACTGGTTCATATTCGCAATAATGCGGGGAAATCACGAAAACTCCGATACAGCCAGTCCGTACACCGAGATTTGAACGCGTGACGACTACCAGTGTTCAATGATTTTACCTCTCAATCACTGACCGACTCTCAATATGAAAAAACAGTCCTCTTTTTTTAAACCTTCTATTCAGCCTCTTTTTAATCAGAAACTTGAAATTTATAACATAAATTTGTAAAACATGAATAGATGCTCTCAATAATAATTTTAACAGCACTGAAAGAAAATGCTCCCGTCCACAACAGGCGAACTCTGAAAAGCATAAAAAGGTCCATGAAGGACTGGAATTCCACATTTTAAGCCACTGGCAAGCATGCTAATGGCATAATATTATATTGCTACTAAAAATGCAACATATATTTATAAGATTTTGTGTCGGGTACCAAATCAAATGTGGAAAATATCTCTTTGTAAAATCGGATAATCACTTGAATTTCTTATATACCAGTAATTTCATCTATATTTGTATCCTAAAATTAAACTTCGAAATGGGGTACTGTAAAGTTAGTGAATAAAGTAGCTATACAGTGTAGCTAAGTGAATTATAGCATAAAGTAGCTAAGTGAATTATTGCAGATTTGAATAATATATTTTAGAATGAGGATTTCTTAAAATAGAACTCATATTTCGTATATACCAGTACAGAGTTTTCAAATTTTTAAGAATAAAGCCTATTTAGGGTCCTATTCTGTTATATCTTAAATAAATACGCAAACATAAATTCAGGCATTTAAAGGGGAAAAAAAAGAATAGAAAAGTAACGAAACTCAGTGTGATGGTTATCTTAACCCTACCTGCGTTTACGAATTTAAATCAAGTATGGATATTTTAAACAATAGCCTGAATGCCATGCAAACTACAAAATCCACACTTAACTAAAACGCAACGTTTAGAAGCCTCTAGATTTTCTTCATAAACATAGGTGTTCTCAAATATTACAGATATCGGTTTTCTAAATTTATTACTGCAAGTAGGAGATCCACTTAAATAAACTTCCAATTTTCAAGAATGCTTTTAAAGAGTATAGAATTTATTTTCAATATATCTGTTCTTTTCTGCTATCGCGTTTGGCTAAAATTTAGCAATTCTGACAATACTTCCGTTTACAATTTATCGAATGTCTCTTGAAATATTTCTTGAACATTGTTTATAACATATTTTTCTTATATAAATCAGTTTTAACAAAATGCCAATGAATCACTGAAAAATAGTAACTTGATTTGATGCTCTTAAAAAATAGTTTTAAAATGCAAAACATTTATAGATGAGAGCAGTCCTCTGCGAAGTCACACAATATAATTATAAAAATATACAATATATAATTATACAATATAAGTATATAAATTTGATTAAACATATGTTAATCACATATTTCGTGTTTATGAATAACTTGAGTTCACGCTCAGTCAGAATTGATTTAGATTAAATTAAAACGGTCGTCGGACTGAAACTGAAAATAAAATCTGTTATTTGAAATTATAAAGTTGAAATGACTTTAAAACCGTTAGAAGGCTAAATATATATACTATGGCAGGATACTATTTTGTTCTTCTCTACGTTCACTGTTAATCCATATTCGATATTTTATCTTCAAATATATCTTATGCAAAAAAGATCCAGGTTTTTTATAACCAACGGGATTTAATGTATAAAATAAGGATCTAGATTTTTTTTAAATTAGTAATCGATGGAAAGTACCTTAAGCTAGTTAAAAAAATTAATCATCAATCTTTTATTTACAAATCTTAAAGAAATCAAACTATTAATTTGCTAGCATTATATACGCATAAAACGTAATACCGTGTTAACTTAAGTCTTACTTGCCGCATCAATTATTTTTGTTATTTGAAATAAAATTGAAAAGTTAAAACTATTTTAACTCATTAAGTTCTAGAAAATGGAACTGGCAATTCTCCCTGTTCTTTTTTTCCCGTTATTTTGTCTGAGACTCAAAAATCTAATTTCGCATCCCATTAATGCGCGTGAAAATACTATATAATTCATATATGTTAATAGCTAACTAAGATCTATCTTTCATAAAAAAAATATGGCGGAAAGTAAAATTAGACGAAGCAAGTTTATGATTTACTGCCGAGAAAAAT